CCGTTCCGCCTCCTGCTTGTCCCGCTCGGCGTCCCGGAGCTTGCTTCGAAGTGACTCGACTTCCTTGTCGCGCAGCGCTAACTTTCTCTCCAGGGTTTGTACCTGGGCCTGAACTGGCAGATGACTTGAGGTGGCAGTGAACACACCTGAACCCGCTTGCTGATGAAGCCTCCCTGTCAGGGAGCTTGGGTCCCACTTCGCCACGTAGGAGGTGTGCTGCTTGCCACGAAGCCCCAATCGAGTAGCGGCCTGCGATGCTGACTCTCCCTCTCCAGGCGCTACTTCCAGCGGATCTGATGGGACCTCTTCCACCTCATCGTCTGCGTCCAGATCAGCAACTTCCTCCGGAGCTGTGCCCGGGGCTCTTTCAGGCTCTGACTCGCAGTGCAAAATGCATGTGGTGTTCTCCTTGACATCGCCTTCCAGATACTTGATGAAGTCGGCTAACACCTGTTCGTAGGCCGCCTTCGCATCGTCTGTGCGATGTGTGCACCAGCTGCAATGCCCGCGGCAAGATCCACCCATGAGCGGCCAGGACTGTTCGCTGTTGCAATGCTGCATGGAAACATGAAGTCCTTCAACGCGAAGTAGCATGTGCTCAATGAGGATGCCTCCTGCCACGGAACGGTGCCGGTTTTGTTTGCAGACAACGCTAATGTTCATCGCCTGGTAGCCCTGCTCCATTGACTTCTTCACCTTGGAACGAATGGCTCTGCAATGTTGCAGGAATCCAGGGTCTGCAGCTATCGCCTTCATTATAGAAGGGTGGGAACCCACATGATCTCGGAGGCTTGTATCTCGCTTGCGATCTGCGAGCTCAGGATCCAAACTCCTGGCATTCGGCAAGTATGTCAGGTCAAAGAAGATGCCGACGAATGCGCCTCCGAGTTCAAGGGTAGCCTCTGCCGAGCGCATCTCACTGAACATGTCAGCGAAATGCTGTGGCTCCCAAGCGTTGCGGATCTTATCGACGGCCTCCTCGAAGTTGTAGCCGAAGGTAAAAATGTCCGCGGCGTGCTTGGGATTGTCTCCTCCCTCGGTGGGGAAGGTTTCTGAGTTCAGCTGCTGAGGCCTCGCCTTAGGCGCGGGGCGCTGTGAAGGTGCGATGGCCATGGCTGCTGTCAAATTTGTGTTCTCACCTTGGGGTTCACTTACAGAGTGCGTCTGCATTGAAGAGGCCTTTCGTTTGGTGACCTTGCTGTTTGCGCACTTATCCGAACCCTCTGCTGCTATTGCTCGGGCAGCACCTGCAGGTGGCGGTGGGATCGCAAATCCTCGAACAAGGCGGGGTTGTTTCCCTTGCAAGAGACCATCGGTTAGGCAAATGCAAAGCAAACCTGAGTCTGATGTCCGATGCAACTTGAGTTCAATGGTCTTGTCGGGGTTCGACGGGAGCCTTACGGAGCGCGTCCCTAAGTGTAGGTCTTTTGCCATCCCAAGTCGACTCTGGGCATGAAGCGATAGTAGGAGGGGTGCCCCACCAGGGATCTCATGGGAATCTAGCGCCCCACACAATCTTTCCCTATGGGAAACCTCCTCGCCCTCAACTGAATCCAAGGGCAAAAGGCAGAAAGGAAAGGTTCGGGTCCCAAGCGTGGAAGTGGAACCACTCAAACCCTTGAAGGTCTTGGAAGTCTCCTTCGCAAACCTCGTGGAATACCCAAAGCTCGCATACTTGGACATGCTCTCGTGACCCCAATCCTCGCCATGAACCGTTGAGTTACACCCTTCATCCAGGACTGCGAAAACATGTGGGGATGTGCGAATGTTAACCACGGGGAGTTTGCTCAAACTGGGGTTCGTGTCTGTGACTCCCTCGTGTGGTCCGGCAAGCATGGCAACCATTGCTGTACCGAGCCTTCTTCCCGATGAAGCCATCTCCCAACTCGCGCTCGTGGGGCTCGCATCATCCGCATGATCGTCCAGAGCCTCTTGAAGGTAGGCAAACAAGTCTCCCCTCGTTATCGAAGGTTCGGTGACGAAGTGACCCTCAACTGCCTCCTTGAACTGTTCAAGGGCTGGTACGACCACTTCTACAGGCACTCGATCCCCTGTTCTGCCCACTATAGAGCGCATCATGTCGAAGTCTAGGGTGTTCGTGTCTCGCAGCTGTGCTGCGGCTGCGTCCCTAGCCTTCTTCTCTTCTTGGGGCAGTTCATCTAGGATCATGCCACAAAGCTTGCACTTGATTCGGCTGGTTGTCTTGCTGGAACCTGAACGATCTACCTGGGCATGCGTGCATGTGGTAGGGTCGACCTGAACCTGTTCTTTGCGAGTCTTGGTTACCGTACCACAGGACTTGCATGTGCGCATGTCTATGTACGAATTGCTCCCTGTCTTGCTAAAGGTCTTACAACCACCCCTGCACTTGGGCCGGAAACCGGTACTGGATGAGGCGGTGCCTTCAGCGTTGGCTGCGCGGTCAGCAACGGAAGTTGGGGGCATCATCGTACTAAGAGGAATGTCTCTTCTACGCACTTCTATGGGGTCCGTGTCTTCTACCACACAATGCTCATGCACCCAGTTCAGGAAATCACCCAAACACTTGGAAGGACACTTCTGTGTTTGACCCCAAAGGACATACCCAGGATAGGTGTGTAGCACTCGTTCATACGTCAGGCCTTTGTGATGACCGAAAGTGAACAAGGTGTCAGATCCTGGCGGTGGGCTGTCACGCATGGCAGTGGCTTCCGATCTGCGAACACGAGGACGCTCTGAGGGTCCTCCGCTCCTTTCAGCGGGATAGCCCTCCATGTCTCTTGAAGTGTTGGAAAGGTGAATGGCAGGGGTCTCATCGTCCGATGCGTCACTCAGTGCGGCAAGGTAGGCTTGTGAGGAGGATGCCATCCCGGGCTTCCCGGGTGAGGCGGACTTCTCTGCACCTGGACCACCCTTACTGGAACCCTTAGGACCTCCGGGACTACCCTTAAACCTGCACTCAGCGTCACCGGCCCAATGACCGATTGCGCCGCATCGCAAGCATCGGCTGCGAGCCTTCAGCTCGGCAAGTTTGGCTTTCCTGTCGGCGATAGAAAGATTGGAAGGAGGGACCTTACCACCCTTCTTACCGCCAGACTTACCAAAACCCTTACCTTTGTTACCCTTCACATTGGCAAGTGTGGTTTGGGCTGCGTATGCCAGCTGCAATGCTTCGGCGTGCTCCTCGCCTGGCTCGCCTCCAAGCTCTGTCTGCATAGCTGTATATGCATTGAGAGCCAAGGCTAATGCACTGTCATCAACCCATTCGCCTTCGTCTTCCTCGACCTCATGCTCCTCGGCTACATAGGCCTGACTTTCTGGCTCCTGGTACTCATACTCATCATCCTCCACGAAACCTTGTGTCATGTAACCGTACCGAGGCTTCTGCTGAAATGAGGTATTCTCCCACCGGGGCTTGGACCATGTTCTAGCGGCAGGCTTGTCTTTCTCAACGAGCAAGCGTTCTCGCATATGCACAACACTATGATGCTTGATCAATACGCGCGCGTACTCATCTACTGTCTCGGCTTGTGCTGCGGCGCGCACCATGAGCTGCTCTTGGCGCGACAAACCAGACAGTTCCACAAGGAGATTGGCACGCATGGCCTCTGACAACCTGACTTCTGGGTCCAATTCCCTTAGGGTAACCCACCAGCGCTTTCGCCGGGAAATGTAAGACAACATCGGCTCCCCTGATTGTTTAGACAAGGGACCCGTCAGCAACTGGCCTTGCCTGAACAATTCCGATGCCTCTTCCCCCTGCAAGGGAAATGCTTGGTCTTTGACCTTCTGAATGAGGAGATCAATGCCGTCGTGCTTCAACAACCTCTCGAGACCTATGTCTCGGGCGATAAGAAAGGCGTCGCCACGGAGGCCTTCCAGCATCTTCTGAACTGCATCAGACATGTCAAGATCACTATCGCGGACCGAAGCGAGTGTGGGAACAGGCTCAGTCTCTACCGAAGCTTGCCCGTCGTCCTCAACCTCATAATCTTGTGGCTGTTGCTCTTCTTCGCCACCGTCTCCTGACGACATGGACTCCGCACCGGCCTGGCGGCCGCGCCGGCGTCCTGGGGCACTTGAAGGACTGGCTGCCATTCCACTGCTCTCATCACCTGTGTGACGGTCCGGGGATCTTATGCCGCCACCTACCCACTTTCGTGGGGATGCAGAACGGCTGAGTTGGTGGCTAGAACGAAGGTCTTTCAAGACCTCTCGACGCTGCCTCTCACGATGCTGGGAGACACGGGCACGTGTGCGAAACTCCCAGTCGTGGAAGGACGCTGCGGAGCCGCTGTAAATGTAGCTTCCTGACTTGGTTTCTGCTGGGGTGTCAAGGCTAAGTACAGGGTCGTACTTTAACCCAGCTACCGACATGGTGTCGGATTTGCGCAGTGCAGTGGTCTATTGTAGACTGGCAATGCTGACGTTCTTTCGGCTTCTTGGCTCACACCCAAATCCCCCTTAGCTTTCTCTTCCGGACGAGATTGCTGCGAGGAATGAAAAACGTGTCACTGAGCTCCACAGCTCCGCTACCAGTTTCAGAAGCGGGGTACTGGGGCCGGAGTCACAGTGACTAGACTACGTAGCTTGCTTTTTCCGATTGAGCCCAAGGCGCCTGTCATGCAGGAACTTGTCTCATGAATGCTATTTGACGCTTGCATGTTTGTTCATGCCTATACAAGTGTTCGCCTAACAGCTTCTGCTCTATACGAAATCCAACTCGGCGCTTGTGTACAGGAAAATCTCACAAGGGTTTAGGGTTTAGGGTTTAGGGTTTAGGGTTTAGGGCAGAAACAGTCGTGCATCTACCTCCTGTGCGCCCCTACCAGCACGGAACAAACACTTGGTCACGCCATGTCTTTCTCCGGTGCCGCGCTTTAGGGTTGATCACCCCCGTTTATGGCTTCCGGGGTTAGGGTTTAGGGTTTAGGGTTTAGGGTTGAGGGTTTAGGGCTGGGCTTTCGGCTATTGTGGGGGTTAGGGTCAGGGTAGTTGAAACAAGTGCAAAAAACAGGACCTCAGGTGACGTACAGCTCCGCATAGGCGCAGACCTGCGCCGCAACAGAAACCTTTAGGGTTTCGGGTTTAGGGTCTAGGGTTTCGGGTTTCGGGTTTAGGGTTTCGGGTTTATTCGAAAGCCTCAGGCTGCGGGGTCCCGTTGAATGGGCGTTTAGGGAATTTTGTTGTTGGAGTCTAGGGTGCCGTAGCGGTTTGGGCGTGTACGAAATTTTCAGCACCCGTAATATAGTCACCCAAATAGTAGGATTCCCTTATAACAAAGACCCCAATGAGATCCAATGAGGTACCCCTAATTTCGGAAACCCACGTTTAAGCCTTATGACGTAGCACTCAAGCGGTTGCGAGCTGAGCTTTAAAGGCTTGTAGAGGGCTTCACCGTCTAGTGGAATTTAGGGTTTAAGATTTCGAGGGTTCCCATTTTGGGTCCTAAATGTTACGGCACCTTATAAAAAGGACCTCCTAAGAAATGGATCCGAATTTAGAGGAACTATCCCTGTACCCCAGACCTCTGAATCACACGCGGGAGCCATCCTCAACCCGAAAGCTGAAAGGCTGAAGCCTAATACTCGACTTGAATCCCTCCCAAACCCCAAAAGGCCGAAACCCGCAAAGCCCAAATCGACAGTTTAGGATTCAGTCTTTAGGGTTTTTAAGGCACCACCACCTACAAGCAACAAACAAAATGTGAACCCTCAACCTCGAAGCCCAAACCAAACCACCACCTGTGAAGAGGAGGAGGTCAAGGTCGACAGGCACTGGCCCGTCTCAATGCACCATACCTCCAGAGTCTTAGATTTGTTGACCCTTTTCGTTTTAAGTGGTGTTAGATCTTAGATGTGCTGATACCTTTTGATCAAACTGCTTTAGGTTTTCGATTTGTTGCTTCTTTTCTTCGTAGTTTTAGATCTAAGATAAGATGTTTCTTTATTTGAAGAAGAGTGCTTGTTTGGCCTTAGGGATGTTAGGGTTTTTCGGGCTTCCTGTTTTTATACAGAGTTTTGGGTCGTATAGGGGCTTTAGAGATTGTAGGTTTGGAGTTTTATGGTTCTAGGACTGTATTAGTCGGTGGGTCTACTTGCCGGTTTGAGTAGGAAGTTTTGGGAATTGGGAACCTCGTTCCGTGTGTAAGAGCTGAGGGGTTTCGGGGTTTCGGTTTTCGGGGGATTCTGTAGAGGGGGCGTTGCCCAGCCAGCCCTCCACCTAAACCCTAAATCCTATATAGGTGGATGAGACGGATTCAGGCTTGTAGAAGGGAGGTCGTGGTTTAGGCACCCTATATATACATATATGTCCCCTTACGTTACGTGGATCAAAGGTATCCAAATGCATCATAGGCATCTGTATGTGTTTTTTTACATATACGTAGGTTATGTTGTGCATAAACACCGTGTTCACTGATTTAGTTCTACAGACCTTACAGGGCTACCTAGGGCTGACATGCGGAAAAATCCCCCCCCACCCCTACCCCCCCCTGAGGGGCCTGGCTCAACCCTACGATCAATCCAAGCCGAACCGTCTCTTGAACCCTAAACCCAAAAAAACCCTAAACCCCAAAGCATGAACCTTGAGCCCTAAGCCCTCAATCCTAAACTAACCCTCAACCCTAAACCCCAAACCATAAACCATAAACCCGGAACCCTAAACCCTAAACCCAACCCTTATTGCTTGGGTCCAGCGACTTGGGCGCTGCGGAATCACCATGCTCACGCGGATGCGCTGGGCCGGGCCGAGGCGGGTCGCGTAGCGTTAAAATCAACCTTAACAAGGAAGAACATTTTTAGATTATAAAGAATAATAATCCCTCTATTAACCTGAATAAGGAAGAACTCTTAACCCAATAAAGCCCTAGACCCCGAACCCTTATCAACCCTAAACCCTGATGAGCACTAAGATCTCTAAACCCCAAGCAAACCCTAAACCCTAAACCCTAAACCCTAAACAGTTATCAACCCTCAGCCCTAAACCCCAAACCCTGAGCCCCACACACGTTACTCGAAGCACCACGGTGCCCTGGGGCCCTAAAGCCCTCCAGCCAGGTTCCCTCCTCCCACCCCCCGGCTACTAAGATTTAAAAATGTTTAGCGCTTAGGGCTCAAGGCGCGCCTAGGGTTTAGTTGTGCAGCCTTGGCAAGACCGTCGCGGGCAGCGGAAACCTTGGAAAACGGCTGGGATTGCTTGCAAAATACCCAAGCCTAGACCCTGCAGTAGACCCTAGCCTAAACCCTAGACCCTCAACCCGATAACCAGATCGCTTTGCCATCGTGCAATCAACCGAAGAAAGTCAGAAGTCAGCATTGAAGAGGGGGCTGGCAGCACACTCCAACTTTGTTCACTGCAGCATAATGTACACGGCGTTAGGTTGCTGCTTCGTCGTGGCAAGAGCGGCCAATACCGCAACGGCAGCTGCAGGTGCAAATTAAGCTTTTGGTTTTGGCCGTAGCTTCACCCGATTGTACACATATATATATATATATATGTATATATATATATATATATATATATATATATATATATATCCGCCGACCCCAGACGGGGCGGCGTCAGTGAAGACCCGCCCCCCCGCCCAGCCCTCCCCTTACCCTTCCACGCCCCCCCCCTCCCCCAACCCACACCTTCCTTTCCCTTCCCATGGCCCCATGCCCTTCCACAAGTCGGCTCCAGTGCATGCCGGGTCGCAATCTGCCTGCTCCCGCCCGCGCCCCCCCCCCCGCCCACCCCATTCCTTCCCCCCTACACAGTCACTGCCGCCCCCCCCCCCACCCCCACCACCCCCCACTCCCACGTCCCCCCCCCCCCAACTCCTTCCCCTCCAATTAGGGTTCCATTCACGCCCCGCCCTGAACCGCCCGCCTCCTAAAATAACCAACCCTCCTCCCTCACCCCCCGACCACCCCCTCCACCCTGGCCCTTCCACAAGCCAGCCCCCCCCCCGCCCCCCCGCCCCACCACCCCCCTTTCCTTCCCATGACCCCCCTGCCCTTCCACACCTCCCCCCCCCCCCCCCACCTTCCCCCCCTCCCCACCACCCTTCCTTCTCTTCCCCCTCGCCTTGGCTCCTCCCCCGCCGCCCCCTCCTCCTCAACAAAAAAAACCCAGCTTGCCACCGCTCCCCACCCCCCGCCACCACCCCCCGGAAACCCCCCCCCCCCCCCCCCCCTCCACCCCCCCCCCCCCACCCCCCCAACCCCACCCCCCCCCCCCCCATGCTCCCAACCCCCCACACTCCATCCTCCTCCCTGCCACCCCCCCTCACTCCACCCCGTTCCCCGCCCCCAACCGCCTCCCCTTCCCCCCATCCCTCTCACCGTTTCACCGCCACTGCCACCCCCCCCCCCCCCCCCCCCCCCCCCCCCCCCCCCCCCCCCCCGCCCCCTTCCCCATGCAGGCCTACCCTCTGATCTTTCAGGATCAGCTCACTCACTTCCCTCACCATCACCGTCCCCCCAACCCCCCCTCCCTGGCCAGCTGGATATGGCCCCCAATGGCTCCATGCCCTTGATGGTCCCCTGACACTCGATCAGATGACTGACATGCCCGCCCCCCGCTCCGCTTGCTCCGCCCTTCCCCCCCACCCCCCCCCCCCCCCCCCCCCCCCCCCCCCCCCCCACCCCCCCACCCCACCCTTAAATCGGGCAGCGCGAGGTCCCCAAAGGACCGAGCAAATGCGGACCTTTTAGCCCGGGTCGTCCCGGGAATAGCCTTGCTGGCCTCTGGCCTTCTGCGAAGCAGAATTAGGCCGGACGCCAGTGCCGCCGACCCCCGCGTGCCGCCGGTGAACGGTTTTTTTTCGTGGTTTTTTGCGTCGCCACGGAGGCCCCCAGAGGGCGCGCATCATGAGCATCAGCGGGTCCAGCCCGGGACCCCCAGGCGCGCATCAGGAGCATCAGCGGCTCCCGGGGCGGGACCCCGGGGGCGCATCAGGAGCATGATGCCCCCCAAAGGGCGGGCATAAGCGACGTGTCTAAGCCCGGGGCTAGGAAAAAGGGAGTTTAGGGGCCTTATAAAGTGCTTAGAAACGTTAAGGGAGTCTAGGAGCCTCAAACGCTTAGAGATTTGAAGGGAGTTTAGGGGCCTGAAAATGCTTAGAAACTTAACGCTTAGAGATTTTGAGGGAGTTTAGGGGCCTCAACATGCTTAGAAACTGCTCGCCCCGGGCTTCTGCCTGCGCTGCCCGCCCATGGGCGCAGCCCCTTAAAATCCGGCCCCCGCGCCGCCCGTGGTCCAGGGCGGAGCCCGCGTCGCACTAAAGCGCTAGCTTTAAGGGGCGAGCGCCCGAGGCGCCGACCCCGCCCAAAATTGCTTCAAATTCGCGCGGGGCCCTTCGGGAGGCCTCCAAAACAGCATCCAAGGGGACGCAACACGCGGTGGTGCGAAAAGCACGAAAACCACGTAAAAACCATGGTTTTTTACGAAAAACCGAGGCCACGAAACACCCGCAGCACCCCATTAAACCCTCACAGGCGCGCATCATCGACCCTAGCTTTTCACATGGGGCGCGCGCCAGGCCGAAACCACGTTTTTCAAGGTTTGGGGGGGGTACCGGAAGCCCAAAACCAGGCGAGCATCATGAGCATCAGCAGCCCTGGCCCGCGGCCCCAAGGCAGTAAAAAACGCTGAAAAACGCTGAAATCACCGTAAATACCGTGTTTTTATTGCCTCCGACCCCCACCCCTGTTGCCCTTGACCCGCCCCCAAAGTGCGCATCATCGAAACCCACGTCCGGGGGGGGGGTCTGCTGATGCTGCTGATGCGCGGGGTCCGGGCGCATCATCGAGCCATCGCTTCTCATGGGCTTCGTGGGGGGGTCCGGGCCGACGGCCCAGAGACCCAGCTGATGCTCATGATGCTCGTTTTGGGGGGGACCTCGTAAATACCGAGTGTTTTGTGGGTCCACGTAAGAACGCCCCTAAAATCGCTCATTTTACGCGATCGAACGGCTTCGTGCCTACAAAACACCCGAACAGCAGGACCCCGAATGCCCTTAAGGGCATTCGGGGTCTTGCTTTTGGGGGTTTCGTGGGCACGCAAGCGTTCAAGCACATACAATCGGCGTGTTTAAGGGGGTTTTGGATGGCCTGGGGGAGGCCGCTGATGCTCATGATGCCCCCTTTCCTGGGTCCCAAAAGGCTTCCCAGGCCCAAAAACACGTGTTTACAGCGTTTTCTGAAGGTTTTTCGAAGGCAAAACGCATGCATAGAATGCTTTTAAGGCCCCCAAACCAACCCCACTGATGCTCCTGATGCGGGTGCGCGCGCGCGCGCGCGGCGCGCGCGCGCGCGCGCGCCGGGGGGGGAGGGGGGGGGAGGGAGGGGGGGCGAAGGCAGGAGAAAGAGAGACAGAGAGAAGGAGAGGACAAAGACACGGGAAAGAGAAGACAGTGCCAAGGTTCAAGGTTTCGTGCTTTGGGGGGCGGGGGCCGGCCCGTGCCGCTAGGCCTGAAATATATTTATATATTCATATTCATATTCATTTTTTATAGTTTTTATATTTATTGTTTTAGGGTTGGAGGGCTTGAAGATTAGGGGAATTAGGGGTTCGGTTGTGCTTAGGAGTAAGTGGACCCACAACCCACCAGGACAGTGCTGGCACCTGCACATCATCTTTTGCAGTTTAGACCTTTGGCTTGGAGGGGCGTATGAGGCTAAGGAGGTTTAGGATTTAGGACTTGGGGCTTAGGGTTTGAGGTTCTCGAACGCTAGCCTGGGCCCCGAACGACGATGCCAGCGCAGCTTCCGGTCATGCCGCCTGGCCAAATGGGTTCTGGACAGGTTCCAACTTATCTCTTCTTGCTTTGCCTGTTTGTTGCATCAGATGCTCAGTAACGCCGTCTATCCGGATTGAAGTGTGGCAACGGGCAACGCCCGGCAGGGTGGAGTAACAACAGTTGCTTGACCAAACGCGGCTCCCTGCCAATCACTGTTTGGGGTCTACGCCGACAACACGCTTGGTCCCCGCCACCGGCATACAGGCACTTCGGCCATGCGCCTTTAGTGTTTTTGAGTTTCAGTTATCTGATGAATGTCCACCAAAGATGGGGGAAGAAAGCTGGCATGGGGCCAAATGATTGATGATTCGGGTTCAACTGGGACATGCCGTGAGCCACTGCACTGGAGCCATAAACCGCACAGACTCCCCAACCCCAAACCCTATAAACGCATAAACCGCATGTTAACCCTGCTTTGCGAGGTTTAGGGCTTGTGCTTATTGAGGCAGGTTAGATCATGCAGAACCTTCTCAGACATCTGTACCTTGGCTGCACAAAGGGTCGTGCCTACATAGACCAAAAATTTGCCAGATACGCTGACCTCGGCAGGAGAGGCTGCAGATGGCGAGTGCATGCCCACGCAGGCTGCGCAACAGCCTGGGTACTGGAGAACAACCGGCTTTTCGTATTCGGAGCTTAGAGGGTCCAGGGCATAGTAACCTAGTAGTTCAAGGAGCAGGGACCTCCGCAGCAGGTGCCATCTCAAGGCCTATCCTGCCTTTTGCTTCGTGAATTCAATTCTCCCCCACTTCACGAATTCAAATGCTGACTTACGCCAGGTCTTGCTTGCAGCCTGACGCTGGGTTGGAGGTAGCATTGGATCCCTAAACCCAATACCCTCAAGTAAACCCCAGTAAGCCCTATAAGACCATATCTGTAGGCCCTATAAAAGCACATCTAAGCCGTCTAAAAAGCACATCTGAGCCCTATAAAACCACATCTGAGCCCTATAAACCCACAAACGCAAAACCCAACCCTGAACCCTACCCATAAACCGCACAGACTCCCCAACCCTAGACCCTATAAACGCATAAACCGCATGGACTCCCATAAGCCCAACATCCTCCTGAGCGCGAAGTGCTGAGAGCTGCGCTCAGAGGTGGCAATGCGCCAAACCTAGCAGATGCCGAAAGGCTTTCTGTGGCTCGGGGTTCGGGCAAATTCGGGTTTTCGGGTTGCAGGGCTGTAGGGTTTAGGGCCTGGGTGCACGGGTGTTAAGGTTTCGGGTGTGGGGTATCCGGACTGGGGTGACAAATCCCCCGCATGAAGAACCCCAAAACGGCTAGGAGAGCGGGGTACCGAAATATCGAGGTAGGGGATCAGCGTCCAGGCAGGCCCTTAGCTAGTTTCTGTCCAGCACGAAGGCCTAAACCCTGAACCCTAAACCCTAAACCCCTAAACCCCTCAACCCCTCAACCCCTCAACCCCTCAACCCCTCAACCCCTCAACCCCTAAACCCCTAAACCCCTAAACCCCTCAACCCCTCAACCCCTAAACCCCTAAACCCCTAAACCCCTAAACCCCTAAACCCCTAAACCCCTAAACCCGAACCCGGCTGTGTCTTCAACATAAGAACCGGCAAGTCTTCGCCATGACGACTGGCATCACGCAGGTAAGAAGCCAGTCTCCCGTGGAGCCCTTACAGTATTACACCGCGGAACTTGATTTGCGCCCGACAGGGAAAGATCCTCACCTAAAACAACCCCAAACCCTAAACCCCCAACCCCAAAACCCTCAACCCCCAACCCCAAAACCCTCAACCCCCAAACCCAAACCCTAATCCCCCAAACCCCAAAACCTACGCCTAAACCCCAAACCCCAAACCCTAAACTCTAAAGCCCAAAACTCTGAACCTAAACTGCGAACCCCGAAACCCTAAACTCCACACCCCAAACCCCAAACCATAAACCCTAGAGGAGGCTCATGGCCTCCAGCGAATCGCCAGCTGCGGCCACAAGGCATTCACCCAGCATGCCGACGGCAGCGACGGCATATCCGTGGCCTGGCAAGCCGACAGGCTTAGGTTTAAGGATAGGGTTTAGGGTTTAGGGTTTAGGGGTTAAGGTTTAGGGTTTAGGGTTTAGGGCTTAGGGCTTATAGGGTTTAGGGTTTAGGGGTTAGGGTTTAGGGTTTAGGGTTTAGGGTTTAGGGTTTAGGGTTTAAGGTTTAGGGTTTAGGGTTTAGGGTTTAGGTTTGTTTTTGGCTATGGCCGTGCGCGAGTGCTGCAGGCGGGCATTGGCGCATACCCAGAGGAAGATTGAAATGGAGGAGTATACTTGGTTCGGTCCTAAAATTCCTCTACCAGGCTCGTGGTCCCATGTTTCACTGTAGTATCTTTTGGTTATTGCTTCTATCCAGTACGGAATCTTACCTCCTCTACGACGCCCTGTTGCTTGAATACGATCTTTGTAAGCGGGGCTTAGTACTACATGATGCATTGGGTCTGTTGTAGGAGCAAGGAACACATGGCGCAGGAGTTTATGTTCTGCAGCGTATAGGGAATCTGATGGCCTTCTAGGGAAGCCTGCTTTTTCCCATACTGCCGTGTTAGGGATTTAGAGGAGACTTTTCATCTTGGCCCTGACCACCGACAAATTAAACAGTCCGTTCAATGCCAGGATTTCGCGGCCGCCGGATCCAAGCTGTATGACGCCCTGCTGGCCCATGGAATTCAAAGCTGCGCAGGAGAGCGCCTCCTTCGGATTAAATCCACCATCAGTTGCGCTTCCCCACTGTTTGAAGCCCAAACGAGAGGAGGCAATCAAGAAGCCGGTCACACAGGCGTCACGATCAGGGAGCATTTCTGCCAATAAGTTGATGACTTCCAGCACCGAGTTCACATTCATTCATCTTCTGCTTCTTATCATCTGAAGTCATATCTGACTTGCCTGACAATTCATCTTAGGGTGTAGGGTTTAGGGTTTAGGGTTTAGGGTTCAAGGTTGGTTTAGGGTCTTACCCTCGCTAAGCACAAGAACCTAAGCCCTTGACCCTAAACCCTAAACCCTAAACCCTAAACCCTAAACCCTATTGTGGATTTAGGGTCTTCTGGGCTCAAGGATGCCCTTGAGGAGCCGACATCGTGAGAAGGAGCACATGGGAGGTCCTCTAAACCCTAAATCCCAAACCCTAAACCCTAAACCCCAAACTCTAACCCCGAAAACCCGTTTTTGGGGTTCCGGTTGTACTCCGAAACCTATATTCCTGGGGGAGATTTCTGGGGGTCCACAGAAAGGGGCCCCCCAGTCTGATCAAGCCCCACGTCACTCGGGCTCGCGCGCAGGGTTGTGATTGCTTCCGGCCGGTCTTCTTTGAGACCTGGGTGTGTGGAATGGGGCTTGCAGTATCTACCTGCACCCCAAAGTCACTCCATAGGCACAACTGACTCTCATGCCCAAAACCATGAACAACCACACGCGACTTTCCGAAACTGCACACCTTTTCAACTGGCAGAAGGCCACCATCCTATCGGTATAACCCGAAACCCCTAAACCCTATACACCCTAAACCCTAAAATGGGTCCTGAATTTTGTCAATGCAACTACCCTTTAATAATGTCCCATACCGCTCAGGTAAGGCCCCTAAATCATACTAAGTGCCCATCTAGCTACCCCGAGACGCCATACAACTACGTATGAGCCCTAGACTATGCTGAAGTAGAGTTTTATAGCTAGCATTCCCAAAAAGTTGCCACTATACTTTCACCAACAAATAATCTTGTAAACACTCACCAAGAAAGCAATTCAAACCCTACACGACGGAGGTTTCAATGACTGGTCATCTCTACTCGCTCGAACTAACTGCCGTGAGGAAGTTGATCTTGAACTCCTACGCCTGGCACGGAAGGTGCAGCGTAACCGGAATTCCTACGCCCTAAAACCCTAAGCCCTCAAACCCTAACACCCGCGAAACCCTATACCCTAAACCCTAAACCCTAGACCCTAAACCCTAAACCCTAAACCCTCTAATCTGCAATCAACCGCACCCAAGCGCTGAGCAGCGGACTCCACACCATTGCCTAGGTAGGGTTTAAACAGTTTAGGGTTTAGGGTTTAGGGTGTCGGGGTAGTTCGAGGTTGAGGATCTACTGGGATAAGACACTTTAAACTAAGTCACAATCATGGGGTAACCATGTGATTTACTGCGTATCCAGAAATTATTCTGGTAAACAAGGCCCCTAAACCGAAACTCCAAACCCACCCGGCAAGCTGCTGCAAGTTCCTGAACGGCAGCCCTGTGAAGGACACGATGATTTGCAATCTGGGGAGCACATGAACCCCCACAATTGGGGGGTTAAATACCCTGAAGGTAAATATGAAACCAAACCCAAAACCCAAAACCCAAAACCCTCACCCCTTAAGCCCTAAGCCCTATGAACCCGTTCGGGGTTCATGTGGTCCCCAAGGTATCTGGAAGCTGCGGGTTTCGGAGGTCTAGAGCCTCATAGGCTTTCGAGACTTCTACGAACCAAAGGATCCCCCTAGGCTGAGGAGCCCTAAACCCTAAAGCCTAAATTTTGGGTTTAGGGTTTAGGGTTTAGGGTTTAGGGTTTAGGGGTAAACCCTAAACCCTAATCCCCTAAACCGAGACCTCCGCAGCTTGTCTATATAGGTTCAGGGTCCTGGGTTACGCGGGGGTGGGGGGCACTCTGCGCTGAACCCAAAGAACCCCAAAGGCCCCCTGTGTTACCAGGTTGCGGTTTAGGGCTTAGGGCTTAGGGCTTAGGGCTTAGGGCTTAGGGCTTAGGGTTTAGGGTTTAGGGTTTAGGTTTTAGGTTTAGGGTTTGGGTTTAGGATTCTTGTCAATCGTTGGTAGCCAGAACCTATAAAGAAACGCAGGCTTGGGGGTGCAGGGTATAAGCCCAGCCTACAGGAAGGGGCCCCAAACCCTAACCTTAAACCCTAGTTGTTAGTAGCGTTAAAAGGGTCCTAAGGTGGGCCAAAGGTATGGAAACTTGGGGTTTTTAGTGGGGGGGTTTAGGGTTTAGGGTTAGGGTGAAAGGTGTAGAGTTCAGGGTTTAGGGTTTAGGGCAGTTTAGGGTGCCAAACCCTAAACCCTCAAACCCCTAAGCCCCAAACCCTAGAAGCCCTCGGAAGGAGTAAACCTTCAGAGGCCCTAAACCCTAAACCCTAAACCCTAAACCCTAAACCCTAAACCATAAGGCAGGGGCTCGGCCGTCGTCTCCTCCGGAAGCGAGCAGGTCATTCTCACCTGGTTCAGGGTTCAGGGTTCAGGGTTTAGGGTTTAGGGTTTAGGGTTTAGGTTTTAGTGAATATAGAGGTTTCCGAAATTCGGAGTACCTCATTGCAAGGGAAGCCGACTATTTGGGGACTATATCTGGGATCCCTTATGTTCGTAAACCCTCGTATGTGCATCTAAGGGAAGATACATGGTACCTTGATGTGGTCCCTTACGGCTCTGATGGGTTGTACAGGCTATTTAAGGTGTCTATAAGGGTCGCCTTTGGAGGGCCTAGAACGGAGGGGCCTTGATGATTAGAATAGTTTTTTTGTTTTTTGTTTTTTTTTGGGGGGGGGGGGGAGGGTGATCGTACAATTCTAGAGGGGCCCGACAGATGTCACAATGGAGGTCTTGGAGGGTTTGGGAAGCAGGCTAAGAGCCCGAGAAGATCTGAGAGGGTCTGAGAAGCAGCCTAGGGGCCTAAACCCTAAACCCTAAACTCTCAACCCTAAACCCTGAAATGGCTTAAGCTGGATAGGCCTCGGGAGCGGTTTAGGGCAAGCGGGAGGGGCTGGAAAAGCCTCACGCAATGAGTTGCATGATACTTTGTTCAAGTTCGCTCACCAGACGCCCACTGCGCATGCTGGTGATCTCCGGCCCAATCTCCGGGGGCAGAGTAAGTTCGGCCTCTCGACGTCAAGAAGTCGAAGGTCTTCGGCTTCGCCGAGCCCGGTGTAGTGTTCAGGAGCTGGCCCAGTTTGTGCTCCGCGCCCTGGAAGAACCAGCAGAGCTATGCGTGAGTGCTCTGCCCTGTCATCCCTAGCGCCCTGAGCTTGGGTCTCTCCTGCTTGACCATTCCCCGAAAGCGAGGTTGGAACTAAGGAACCGGGTGAGGTTCCATGTTCTGCGGCATCTCGGAGTAGATCCCCTTCGGTTCTGCCAGTGCCCTTGCGAAATGAAGGCTTAAGGTCCCTGATCCTTATGAACATCTATATATGAAGCAGGGTATAAATTTCTTGTACCTCCAAAAGGACACCAAATACATACACTCACCAATATTAAAAAGGAACCTTATGTACACTCACCAAAAACAGAAATATTAACCCTGCTTCATATAAGTGTGACACATACTTTCCTTAGCCCCAGACATGGATCCCAATCCCTCAACTCCTGAGACCCCAAAGAACCCCAAACAGGAAACCCTCTAGCAAAACCCCGAAACCCTAAAATCTGAACTCTGAGCCTGGACCCTGAATCTTAGACCCTACACCCCGAACCCCTTGGAACCCTCAATACGAACTTGACCCCAAACCCGAAGTCCTGAACCCTAATCCCTAGACCCTAAACCCTCAACCCTAAACCCCAAACCCCTTTCAAAACCCTACATACGAACTTGAGGCAGCTCTGGACTCCCACCGAAGGCGACGCAGCGAAGACCGCAGCGGTGTCCTTGCAGCCTCTCCTGCAAGAGGGTTTAGGGTTTAGGGTTTAGATTTTAGGGTTTAGGAGTTCAGGGTTTAGGGCTTAGGGTTTGGGGTTTGGGTTTAGGGTTTGGGGTTGGGGTTTGGGGTGTGGGGTTTAGGGTTTACGATTTGGGGTTTGGGGTTTAGGGTTTAGGGCTTGGGGTGTGGGGTTTAGGGTTTAGGGTTTAGGGTTTAGGGGTTAGGGGTTGAGGGTGGGTTTGTAGCTAAGGGTAGCACTATGGTCTCTTAATAGGGTCCCTCACCTTCTTTAAATGGTTCGGAAGGAAGTGCCCTTGGGTTTTGCAGGGTATACAGGGGGTATCTAGGGCTTTCCATTTAAGGGCCCATATTAAGGGACGATGTAACTACCCCTAGAATATAGGGTGTACGGGTTAGGAACAAAATGCCGAGATGAGGTCGGTGTAGTTTTGGGTTCGGGCTCAGGGTTTAGGGCCGAGCCATTGGCCGTCTTCTGCAAACCCTAAACCCTAAACTCTAAACCCTAAGCCCAAAATCCTCCTTGAACCCTATAACAGGCTTGTGCCTTTGCTTTGGGGGGGGGGGGGGGGGGAGGGGGAGGGGGAGGGGGAGGGGGAGGGGAGGGGGAGGGGGAGGGGGAGGGGGAGGGGGAGGGGGAGGGGGGGAGGGGAGGGGGAGGGGGAGGGGGAGGGGGAGGGAGGGGGAGGGGGAGGGGGAGGTAGGTCCCTCATCACGAGTAATTAGGTAGAGGCTAGATGCCCGTAAACCCTAAACCCCGTCCAGGGTTCATGAACAGGCATCCGGTGAACGTCTCCGAAAGCTCCCGTTGACTAGGGGCCCCACCAATGTCCCTTCCTTCCTCCACAGTAGCCTCGAGCTAGGCTTCACGGGGGTTTAGGGCGAGGTTTAGTGTTTGAGGTTTAGGGTTAGGGTTTAGGGTTTGGGGTTTAGGGTTCAGGGCTTGGGGTTTGGGATGCGGCACTCATTTAAGGTGTTTATGCTTCCTGAAGCTAAATCCTAGGGATGCAGGGGGCGTTTTTATTGAAGGGTTCTCAGGTAGGTATACAGCCTACAAAATGCGTCTTGAGTTTACGGTTTACCAATCTGTTCTTCGACTCTCTTTTCGCGAAGCATTGGTTTTGGATTTTCCCGTAATATTGCAGCCGGCTGCTTTGTGAACAAAACTCCCCAAACCCTAAACCCTAAATTCTAGCAGTCACGTC